CCCTGTAGTGACCTATAGACTCTGTAGTGACCTATAGACCCTGTAGTGACCTATAGATACTATAGTGACCTATAGACCCTGTAGTGACCTATAGACTCTGTAGTGACCTATAGACTCTGTAGTGACCTATAGACTCTGTAGTGACCTATAGACTCTGTAGTGACCTATAGACCCTGTAGTGACCTATAGATACTATAGTGACCTATAGACCCTGTAGTGACCTATAGACCCTGTAGTGACCTATAGACTCTGTAGTGACCTATAGACCCTGTAGTGACCTATAGACTCTGTAGTGACCTATAGACCCTGTAGTGACCTATAGATACTATAGTGACCTATAGACCCTGTAGTGACCTATAGACCCTGTAGTGACCTATAGACTCTGTAGTGACCTATAGACCCTGTAGTGACCTAAAGATACTGTAGTGACCTATAGATACTATAGTGACCTATAGACTCTGTAGTGACCTATAGACACTGTAGTGACCTATAGACTCTGTAGTGACCTATAGACCCTGTAGTGACCTAAAGATACTGTAGTGACCTATAGACCCTGTAGTGACCTATAGATACTATAGTGACCTATAGACTCTGTAGTGACCTATAGACACTGTAGTGACCTATAGACACTGTAGTGACCTAATGATCCTGTAGTGACCTATAGACTCTGTAGTGACCTATGACTCTGTAGTGACCTATGACTCTGTAGTGACCTATGACTCTGTAGTGACCTAGAGACTCTGTAGTGACCTATAGACCCTGTAGTGACCTAGAGACTCTGTAGTGACCTATGACCCTGTAGTGACCTAGAGACCCTGTAGTGACCTATAGACTCTGTAGTGACCTATAGACTCTGTAGTGACCTATGACTCTGTAGTGACCTATAGACTCTGTAGTGACCTATGACTCTGTAGTGACCTATAGACTCTGTAGTGACCTATAGACTCTGTAGTGACCTATGACTCTGTAGTGACCTATAGACTCTGTAGTGACCTATAGACCCTGTAGTGACCTATGACTCTGTAGTGACCTATAGACTCTGTAGTGACCTATAGACCCTGTAGTGACCTATAGACCCTGTAGTGACCTATGACTCTGTAGTGACCTAGAGACCCTGACATTATCTGTCCAAGAGATAATCTCCAGTTTGAGCGCCTCCACATGCAGCCTGGATGTACTACCCACTAGATTTCTGAAGTCTGTTCTGAGCAGTCTGTTACCTTCACTCACACAGATAGTAAACATGTCCCTTCATTCTGGAATATTCCCAAAGGCCCTGAAAACTGCAGTCATCAGGCCCCTGCTAAAAAAGAGCAGTCTGGATGCTACGGTACTTAACAACTACCGTCCCATCTCAAATCTGCCATTTATGGGAAAGTCCTTGAGAAAGTTGTCTACCTACAGCTTACTAGATTTCTTATAATCAACAACTCATTTGATATGTTTCAGTCCGGCTTTAGACCCCACCACAGCACTGAGACTGCTCTCGTTAAGGTTACAAACGATATCCGGCTGAACACTGACGCAGGCAAAGTCTCAATCCTAATCTTGTTAGATCTGAGTGCTGCCTTTGACACTGTCGACCATGAGATCCTCTTACAGAGACTAGAGGACTGGGTTGGCGTCACTGGCACCGCCCTAAGTTGGTTTGGGTCTTACCTTGAAGACAGGAAGTACTTTGTGGAGATTGGAAACTGTGTCTCAGATCATATGGCCCTGACCTGTGGAGTACCACAGGGGTCGATCCTGGGACCTCTTCTTTTCAATCTCTACATGCTGCCGTTAGGTCAGTTAATACGCAGAAACAAAGTTTCCTATCATAACTATGCAGACGACACTCAGATCTATGTCTCACTGACTGCAGGAGAACATGGACCAGTGGACTCACTCCTTCACTGTATCCAACAGATCAGTGAGTGGATGCAAAACAACTTCCTTCAGCTAAACGCAGACAAAACTGAAATGATTGTCTTTGGTCCCCAGAAACAAAGAGAGAGCGTCATCTGTCACCTACAGTCTCTCTCCCTAAAACCTTCAAACAAGGTCAGAAATCTAGGGGTAATACTGGACTCAGACTTAAATTTTAATAGCCACATCAAATCAGTAACATCAGCAGCTTTTTACCATCTAAAAAACATTGCCAGGACCAAAAACATAGTGTCTAAAGCAGACTTGGAGATTCTTATCCATGCATTTGTCTCCAGTAGGTTAGACTACTGCAATGGCCTGCTCACAGGTCTGTCCAAACAGGCTGTAAAACAGCTGCAGTACATTCAAAATGCAGCAGCTCCAGTCCTGACTAGAACCAGGAAGTACGACCACATTAGTCCTGACTAGAACCAGGAAGTACGACCACATTAGTCCTGACAAGAACCAGGAAGTACGACCACATTAGTCCTGACTAGAACCAGGAAGTACGACCACATTAGTCCTGACTAGAACCAGGAAGTACGACCACATTAGTCCTGACTAGAACCAGGAAGTACGACCACATTAGTCCTGACTAGAACCAGGAAGTACGACCACATTAGTCCTGACTAGAACCAGGAAGTACGACCACATTAGTCCTGACTAGAACCAGGAAGTACGACCACATTAGTCCAGTCCTCAGGTCTCTGCACTGGCTTCCTGTGGCTCAGAGAATAGACTTTAAAACAGCTCTGCTTGTTACAAGTCTCTCCATGGCCTCGCACCAAAATATATTAGTGACATGTTAGTCCCATATGAACCAGCCCGGACTCTGAGGAGCACAGGGACTGGACTCCTGCTGGGACTCTGAGGAGCACAGGGACTGGACTCCTGCTGGGACTCTGAGGAGCACAGGGACTGGACTCCTGCTGGGACTCTGAGGAGCACAGGGACTGGACTCCTGCTGGGACTCTGAGGAGCACAGGGACTGGACTCCTGCTGGGACTCTGAGGAGCACAGGGACTGGACTCCTGCTAGAGACCCTGTAGTGACCTAGAGACCCTGTAGTGACCTATAGATACTATAGTGGCCTATAGACTCTGTAGTGACCTAGAGACCCTGTAGTGACCTAGAGACCCTGTAGTGACCTATAGACTCTGTAGTGACCTATAGACTCTGTAGTGACCTATAGACTCTGTAGTGACCTATAGATACTATAGTGACCTATAGACTCTGTAGTGACCTATAGACTCTGTAGTGACCTATAGACACTATAGTGACCTATGGACTCTGTAGTGACCTATAGATACTATAGTGACCTATAGACTCTGTAGTGACCTATAGATACTATTGTGACCTATAGACTCTGTAGTGATCTATAGACTCTGTAGTGACCTATAGACCCTGTAGTGACCTATAGACTCTGTAGTGACCTATAGACCCTGTAGTGACCTATAGATACTATAGTGACCTATAGATACCATAGTGACCTATAGACTCTGTAGTGACCTATAGATACTATAGTGACCTAGAGACTCTGTAGTGACCTATAGACTCTGTAGTGACCTATAGATACTATAGTGACCTATAGATACTATAGTGACCTATAGACTCTGTAGTGACCTATAGATACTATAGTGACCTATAGACTCTGTAGTGACCTATAGACTCTGTAGTGACCTATAGACACTATAGTGACCTATGGACTCTGTAGTGACCTATAGACTCTGTAGTGACCTATAGATACTATAGTGACCTATAGACTCTGTAGTGACCTATAGATACTATTGTGACCTATAGACTCTGTAGTGATCTATAGACTCTGTAGTGATCTATAGACTCTGTAGTGACCTATAGACCCTGTAGTGACCTATAGACTCTGTAGTGACCTATAGACTCTGTAGTGACCTATAGACTCTGTAGTGACCTATAGATACTATAGTGACCTATAGACTCTGTAGTGACCTATAGACTCTGTAGTGACCTATAGACTCTGTAGTGACCTATACACTATAGTGACCTATAGACACTATAGTGACCTATGGACTCTGTAGTGACCTATAGACTCTGTAGTGACCTATGACTCTGTAGTGATCTATAGACTCTGTAGTGACCTATAGACCCTGTAGTGACCTAGAGACCCTGTAGTGACCTAGAGACCCTGTAGTGACCTATAGACTCTGTAGTGACCTATAGACTCTGTAGTGACCTATAGATACTATTGTGACCTATAGACTCTGTAGTGATCTATAGACTCTGTAGTGACCTATAGACCCTGTAGTGACCTATAGACTCTGTAGTGACCTATAGACTCTGTAGTGACCTATAGACTCTGTACTGACCTAGAGACCCTGTAGTGACCTATAGACTCTGTAGTGACCTATAGACTCTGTAGTGACCTATAGACTCTGTAGTGACCTATAGACTCTGTAGTGACCTATAGATACTATTGTGACCTATAGACCCTGTAGTGACCTATAGACTCTGTAGTGACCTATAGATACTATTGTGACCTATAGACCCTGTAGTGACCTATAGACCCTGTAGTGACCTATAGATACTATTGTGACCTATAGACCCTGTAGTGACCTATAGACTCTGTAGTGACCTATAGACTCTGTAGTGACCTATAGATACTATTGTGACCTATAGACTCTGTAGTGACCTATAGACCCTGTAGTGACCTAGAGACTCTGTAGTGACCTAGAGACTCTGTAGTGACCTATAGATACTATTGTGACCTATAGACCCTGTAGTGACCTACAGACTCTGTAGTGACCTATAGACACTGTAGTGACCTAGAGACCCTGTAGTGACCTATAGACTCTGTAGTGACCTATAGACTCTGTAGTGACCTATAGACTCTGTAGTGACCTATAGATACTATAGTGACCTATAGACTCTGTAGTGACCTATAGACTCTGTAGTGACCTATAGACTCTGTAGTGACCTATAGACTCTGTAGTGACCTATAGACTCTGTAGTGACCTATAGACTCTGTAGTGACCTATAGACTCTGTAGTGACCTATAGTGACTGGGTTAGGGTTAGTGGTTATAGTATACTATAGCGTTAGGGTGAGTGAGCACTGACCCACGGAGCCCTTGGCGGCGATGGCGACCGTCTCCAGCAGAACCTGGACGATCCCAGCTCGGACGCGGGGCGTGTCCTTCTGGTGCGTGTCCAGGTGTCCTAGGACCTGCTGGATCACATGGTGCGAGTGCTGCGCCTGCAACACATCAAGGACAGACCTGAGTCTTCAGCGGTTTCAGTTTGACTGATTCTGCATCCAAGTTTTTTTATGTGGCACAAAGATGTATTTGATCTGTGGATAATCATATAGACAACAGAGTGGTACCTGTGAGTGGTACCTGTGTGCTGTACCTGTGTGTGGTACCTCTGTGTGGTACCTGTGAGTGGTACCTGTGAGTGGTACCTGTGTGTGGTACCTGTGTGTGGTACCTGTGAGTGGTACCTGTGTGCTGTACCTGTGTGTGGTACCTCTGTGTGGTACCTGTGAGTGGTACTTGTGTGTGGTACCTGTGTGTGGTACCTCTGTGTGGTACCTGTGTGTGGTACCTGTGAGTGGTACCTGTGTGCTGTACCTGTGTGTGGTACCTCTGTGTGGTACCTGTGAGTGGTACCTGTGTGTGGTACCTGTGTGTGGTACCTCTGTGTGGTACCTGTGAGTGGTACCTGTGAGTGGTACCTGTGTGTGGTACCTGTGTGTGGTACCTGTGTGTGGTACCTGTGAGTGGTACCTGTGTGCTGTACCTGTGTGTGGTACCTCTGTGTGGTACCTGTGAGTGGTACCTGTGAGTGGTACCTGTGTGTGGTACCTGTGTGTGGTACCTGTGTGTGGTACCTGTGAGTGGTACCTGTGTGCTGTACCTGTGTGTGGTACCTCTGTGTGGTACTTGTGAGTGGTACCTGTGTGTGGTACCTGTGTGTGGTACCTCTGTGTGGTACCTGTGTGTGGTACCTGTGAGTGGTACCTGTGTGCTGTACCTGTGTGTGGTACCTCTGTGTGGTACCTGTGAGTGGTACCTGTGTGTGGTACCTGTGTGTGGTACCTCTGTGTGGTACCTGTGAGTGGTACCTGTGTGTGGTACCTGTGTGTGGTACCTTTGTGTGGTACCTGTGAGTGGTACTTGTGTGTGGTACCTGTGTGTGGTACCTGTGAGTGGTACCTCTGTGTGGTACCTGTGAGTGGTACTTGTGTGTGGTACCTGTGAGTGGTACCTGTGTGTGGTACCTGTGTGCTGTACCTGTGTGTGATACCTCTGTGTGGTACCTGTGAGTGGTACCTGTGTGTGGTACCTGTGTGTGGTACCTCTGTGTGGTACCTGTGAGTGGTACCTGTGTGTGGTACCTGTGTGTGGTACCTTTGTGTGGTACCTGTGAGTGGTACTTGTGTGTGGTACCTGTGAGTTGTACCTGTGTGCTGTACCTGTGAGTGGTACCTGTGTGCTGTACCTGTGTGTGATACCTCTGTGTGGTACCTGTGAGTGGTACCTGTGTGCTGTACCTGTATGGAGTACATGATGATCCTGAAGCAGGACACAGAGAACTCGTTGGGGTCCCACAGGTGATGGTTGTCCAGGTGCCTGAGGACACAGGGACAGAGTGAGCCCCTCACACCAGGTGGACACACACCAGGTGGACACACACCAGGTGGACACACACCAGGTGGACTAAACAAGGTAATATCCAGTTCATTTTCTGGTAGGAGAGGTACTCTACTCTACTCTACTCTACTCTACTCTACTCTACTCTACTCTACTCTACTCTACTCTACTCTACTCTACTCTACTCTACTCTACTCTGTCTGTGTGTGTATAGGTCTGCTGCTGCTGCTGCCGCTGCCTCAGTCACTGATCTCTTGTTCTATTCTTAGAAGCGACACTGTTCCAGCTGCACATGACTCAGAGCTTGGACTTAGAAAAAAAACAGTTTAACAAAACTGTCCTCTTCTGTATATGTCAATATGCCTTCAGCTGTAGTCTGTTTATTGTTATTCACCCACCGTCCCATTGTCCTGGGTCTACGGCCTCAGTCCTGGGTCTACGGCCTCAGTCCTGGGTCTACGGCCTCAGTCCTGGGTCTACGGCCTCAGTCCTGGGTCTACGGCCTTAGTCCTGGGTCTACAGCCTCAGTCCTGGGTCTACAGCCTCAGTCCTGGGTCTACAGCCTCAGTCCTGGGTTTACAGCCTCAGTCCTGGGTCTACACCCTCAGTCCTGGGTCTATGGCTTCAGTCCTGGGTCTACAGCCTCAGTCCTGGGTCTATGGCCTCAGTCCTGGGTCTACAGCCTCAGTCCTCGGTCTACAGCCTCAGTCCTGGGTCTACAGCCTCAGTCCTCGGTCTACAGCCTCAGTCCTGGGTCTACAGCCTCAGTCCTGGGTTTACAGCCTCAGTCCTGGGTCTACACCCTCAGTCCTGGGTCTATGGCTTCAGTCCTGGGTCTACAGCCTCAGTCCTGGGTCTATGGCCTCAGTCCTGGGTCTACAGCCTCAGTCCTCGGTCTACAGCCTCAGTCCTGGGTCTACAGCCTCAGTCCTCGGTCTACAGCCTCAGATCTGGATCTGGATGTAGTTTGAGCAGGCGACCAGCAGAGGGTGCTCTGCACACAGCAGCACACTGAACTGAGAAAGTTATCTTCAGAGAGAGAAGAGAAGAGAGAGAAGAAGAGAGAAGAAAGAAGAGGAGAAACTGTATCAAGGAAATCAGAAAGCAGCAACACCAGCATGAACCGAGACGAGGGGCCGTCCTCCTGTCGCATACGTGGGGTCTGTCTGTCTGTCTGTCTGTCTGTCTGTCTGTCTGTCTGTCACTCACACCAGCACTGGTCTCACAGCGTTGTTCATGTTGCCATAAGCTGCTCTCCCCAACAGTTCTCTGAAGCAGCTCTCAGCGAGGGCCCCGGGGTTCTCCTCCACATCTGGACCTCCTCCAGGTGCCGAGGGGGACGAGGGGTGGCCTGACCTGGCAACATATTCACCACAAGTATTACTCAAGACTAGGGGTGCAACGGTTTGAAAAAATCCCGGTTCGGTTCGTACCTCGGTTCAGAGGCCACGGTTCGGTTCATTTTTCCAAAAAAAAGTGTTGTCCTTTTAATAAACACAGCTCATGTGGACTCGGCACCTGCTCTGACTGAGGAGGTACCTGTCTGTGTCCCACATGTTGAACAGCATGAGGAGGTGCAGAGGAGATACCTGTCTGTGTCCCACATGTTGAACAGCATGAAGAGGTTCAGGAGGAGGTACCTGTCTGTGTCCGTGTCCCACATGTTGAACAGCATGAGGAGGTGCAGGAGGGGGTACCTGTCTGTGTCTGTGTCCCACATGTTGAACAGCATGAGGAGGTGCAGGAGGGGGTACCTGTCTGTGTCCAACATGTTGAACAGCATGAGGAGGTGCAGAGGAGGTACCTGTCTGTGCACCACATGTTGAACAGCATGAGGAGGTGCAGAGGAGGTGCAGGAGGAGGTACCTGTCCGTGTCCCACATGTTGAACAGCATGAGGAGGTGCAGGAGGAGGTACCTGTCCGTGTCCCAAATGTTGAACAGCATGAGGAGGTGCAGAGGAGGTGCAGGAGGAGGTACCTGTCTGTGTCCGTGTCCCACATGTTGAACAGCATGAGGAGGTCCAGAGGAGGTGCAGAAGGAGGTACCTGTCTGTGTCCCACATGTTGAACAGCATGAGGAGGGGCAGGAGGAGGTACCTGTCTGTGTCCGTGTCCCACATGTTGAACAGCATGAGGAGGTGCAGAGGAGGTGCAGGAGGAGGTACCTGTCTGTGTCCCACATGTTGAACAGCATGAGGAGGTGCAGAGGAGGTGCAGGAGGAGGTACCTGTCTGTGTCCCACATGTTGAACAGCATGAGGAGGTGCAGGAGGAGGTACCTGTCTGTGTCCCACATGTTGAACAGCATGAGGAGGTGCAGAGGAGATACCTGTCTGTGTCCCACATGTTGAACAGCATGAAGAGGTGCAGGAGGAGGTACCTGTCTGTGTCCGTGTCCCACATGTTGAACAGCATGAGGAGGTGCAGAGGAGATACCTGTCTGTGTCTGTGTCCCACATGTTGAACAGCATGAGGAGGTGCAGGAGGGGGTACCTGTCTGTGTCCAACATGTTGAACAGCATGAGGAGGTGCAGAGGAGGTACCTGTCTGTGCACCACATGTTGAACAGCATGAGGAGGTGCAGAGGAGGTGCAGGAGGAGGTACCTGTCCGTGTCCCACATGTTGAACAGCATGAGGAGGTGCAGGAGGAGGTACCTGTCCGTGTCCCAAATGTTGAACAGCATGAGGAGGTGCAAAGGAGGTGCAGGAGGAGGTACCTGTCTGTGTCCGTGTCCCACATGTTGAACAGCATGAGGAGGTCCAGAGGAGGTGCAGAAGGAGGTACCTGTCTGTGTCCCACATGTTGAACAGCATGAGGAGGTCCAGAGGAGGTGCAGAAGGAGGTACCTGTCTGTGTCCCACATGTTGAACAGCATGAGGAGGTGCAGGAGGAGGTACCTGTCTGTGTCCCACATGTTGAACAGCATGAGGAGGTGCAGAGGAGGTGCAGGAGGAGGTACCTGTCTGTGTCCCACATGTTGAACAGCATGAGGAGGTGCAGAGGAGGTGCAGGAGGAGGTACCTGTCTGTGTCCCACATGTTGAACAGCATGAGGAGGTGCAGAGGAGGTGCAGGAGGAGGTACCTGTCTGTGTCCCACATGTTGAACAGCATGAGGAGGTGCAGAGGAGGTGCAGGAGGAGGTACCTGTCTGTGTCCCACATGTTGAACAGCATGAGGAGGTGCAGAGGAGGTGCAGGAGGAGGTACCTGTCTGTGTCCCACATGTTGAACAGCATGAGGAGGTGCAGAGGAGGTGCAGGAGGAGGTACCTGTCTGTGTCCCACATGTTGAAGAGCATGAGGAGGTGCAGAGGAGGTGCAGGAGGAGGTACCTGTCTGTGTCCCACATGTATAACAGCATGAGGTGCAGGAGGAGGTACCTGTCTGTGTCCCACATGTTGAACAGCATGAGGAGGTGCAGAGGAGGTGCAGGAGGAGGTACCTGTCTGTGTCCCACATGTTGAACAGCATGAGGAGGTGCAGAGGAGGTGCAGGAGGAGGTACCTGTCTGTGTCCCACATGTTGAACAGCATGAGGAGGTGCAGGAGGAGGTACCTGTCTGTGTCCCACATGTTGAACAGCATGAGGAGGTGCAGGAGGAGGTACCTGTCTTTGTCCCACATGTTGAACAGCATGAGGTGCAGGAGGAGGTACCTGTCTGTGTCCCACATGTTGAACAGCATGAGGAGGTGCAGAGGAGGTGCAGGAGGAGGTCCCTGTCTGTGTCCCACATGTTGAACAGCATGAGGAGGTGCAGAGGAGGTGCAGGAGGAGGTACCTGTCTGTGTCCCACATGTTGAACAGCATGAGGAGGTGCAGAGGAGGTACAGGAGGAGGTACCTGTCTGTGTCCCACATGTTGAACAGCATGAGGAGGTGCAGAGGAGGTGCAGGAGGAGGTACCTGTCTGTGTCCCACATGTTGAACAGCATGAGGAGGTGCAGAGGAGGTGAAGGAGGAGGTACCTGTCTGTGTCCCACATGTTGAACAGCATGAGGAGGTGCAGGAGGAGGTACCTGTCTGTGTCCCACATGTTGAACAGCATGAGGTGCAGGAGGAGGTACCTGTCTGTGTCCCACATGTTGAACAGCATGAGGAGGTGCAGAGGAGGTGCAGGAGGAGGTACCTGTCTGTGTCCCACATGTTGAACAGCATGAGGAGGTGCAGAGGAGGTGAAGGAGGAGGTACCTGTCTGTGTCCCACATGTTGAACAGCATGAGGAGGTGCAGAGGAGGTGCAGGAGGAGGTACCTGTCTGTGTCCCACATGTTGAACAGCATGAGGAGGTGCAGGAGGAGGTACCTGTCTGTGTCCCACATGTTGAACAGCATGAGGAGGTGCAGAGGAGGTGCAGGAGGAGGTACCTGTCTGTGTCCCACATGTTGAACAGCATGAGGAGGTGCAGAGGAGGTGCAGGAGGAGGTACCTGTCTGTGTCCCACATGTTGAACAGCATGAGGAGGTGCAGAGGAGGTGCAGGAGGAGGTACCTGTCTGTGTCCCACATGTTGAACAGCATGAGGAGGTGCAGAGGAGGTGCAGGAGGAGGTACCTGTCTGTGTCCCACATGTTGAACAGCATGTGGAGGTGCAGAGGAGGTACAGGAGGAGGTGCCTGTCTGTGTCCCACATGTTGAACAGCATGAGGAGGTGCAGAGGAGGTGCAGGAGGAGGTACCTGTCTGTGTCCCACATGTTGAACAGCATGAGGAGGTGCAGAGGAGGTGCAGGAGGAGGTACCTGTCTGTGTCCCACATGTTGAACAGCATGAGGAGGTGCAGAGGAGGTGCAGGAGGAGGTACCTGTCTGTGTCCCACATGTTGAACAGCATGAGGAGGTGCAGAGGAGGTGCAGGAGGAGGTACCTGTCTGTGTCCCACATGTTGAACAGCATGAGGAGGTGCAGAGGAGGTGCAGGAGGAGGTACCTGTCTGTGTCCCACATGTTGAACAGCATGAGGAGGTGCAGAGGAGGTGCAGGAGGAGGTACCTGTCTGTGTCCCACATGTTGAACAGCATGAGGAGGTGCAGAGGAGGTGCAGGAGGAGGTACCTGTCTGTGTCCCACATGTTGAACAGCATGAGGAGGTGCAGAGGAGGTGCAGGAGGAGGTACCTGTCTGTGTCCCACATGTTGAACAGCATGAGGAGGTGCAGAGGAGGTGCAGGAGGAGGTACCTGTCTGTGTCCCACATGTTGAACAGCATGAGGAGGTGCAGGAGGAGGTACCTGTCTGTGTCCCACATGTTGAACAGCATGAGGAGGTGCAGGAGGAGGTACCTGTCTGTGTCCCACATGTTGAACAGCATGAGGAGGTGCAGAGGAGGTGCAGGAGGAGGTACCTGTCTGTGTCCCACATGTTGAACAGCATGAGGAGGTGCAGGAGGAGGTACCTGTCTGTGTCCCACATGTTGAACAGCATGAGGAGGTGCAGAGGAGGTGCAGGAGGAGGTACCTGTCTGTGTCCCACATGTTGAACAGCATGAGGAGGTGCAGAGGAGGTGCAGGAGGAGGTACCTGTCTGTGTCCCACATGTTGAACAGCATGAGGAGGTGCAGGAGGAGGTACCTGTCTGTGTCCCACATGTTGAACAGCATGAGGAGGTGCAGGAGGAGGTACCTGTCTGTGTCCCACATGTTGAACAGCATGAGGAGGTGCAGAGGAGGTGCAGGAGGAGGTACCTGTCTGTGTCCCACATGTTGAACAGCATGAGGAGGTGCAGGAGGAGGTACCTGTCTGTGTCCCACATGTTGAACAGCATGAGGAGGTGCAGAGGAGGTGCAGGAGGAGGTACCTGTCTGTGTCCCACATGTTGAACAGCATGAGGAGGTGCAGGAGGAGGTACCTGTCTGTGTCCCACATGTTGAACAGCATGAGGAGGTGCAGAGGAGGTGCAGGAGGAGGTACCTGTCTGTGTCCCACATGTTGAACAGCATGAGGAGGTGCAGGAGGAGGTACCTGTCTGTGTCCCACATGTTGAACAGCATGAGGAGGTGCAGGAGGAGGTACCTGTCTGTGTCCCACATGTTGAACAGCATGAGGAGGTGCAGAGGAGGTGCAGGAGGAGGTACCTGTCTGTGTCCCACATGTTGAACAGCATGAGGAGGTGCAGGAGGAGGTACCTGTCTGTGTCCCACATGTTGAACAGCATGAGGAGGTGCAGAGGAGGTGCAGGAGGAGGTACCTGTCTGTGTCCCACATGTTGAACAGCATGAGGAGGTGCAGGAGGAGGTACCTGTCTGTGTCCCACATGTTGAACAGCATGAGGAGGTGCAGGAGGAGGTACCTGTCTGTGTCCCACATGTTGAACAGCATGAGGAGGTGCAGAGGAGGTGCAGGAGGAGGTACCTGTCTGTGTCCCACATGTTGAACAGCATGAGGAGGTGCAGGAGGAGGTACCTGTCTGTGTCCCACATGTTGAACAGCATGAGGAGGTGCAGAGGAGGTGCAGGAGGAGGTACCTGTCTGTGTCCCACATGTTGAACAGCATGAGGAGGTGCAGAGGAGATACCTGTCTGTGTCCCACATGTTGAACAGCATGAGGAGGTGCAGGAGGAGGTACCTGTCTGTGTCCCACATGTTGAACAGCATGAGGAGGTGCAGGAGGAGGTACCTGTCTGTGTCCCACATGTTGAACAGCATGAGGAGGTGCAGAGGAGGTGCAGGAGGAGGTACCTGTCTGTGTCCCACATGTTGAACAGCATGAGGAGGTGCAGGAGGAGGTACCTGTCTGTGTCCCACATGTTGAACAGCATGAGGAGGTGCAGAGGAGGTGCAGGAGGAGGTACCTGTCTGTGTCCCACATGTTGAACAGCATGGAGGGGATGAGTTTGTCCATGTGCTGTGGTTCCCAGATTATCGCCTGCAGTTCATCGTTCACCGTCTTTCTGACCACGCCCTGAAGACCACGGATACCAGCCACACGGATCCTACAGAGAGACCAGACTGAGACCAGGACCAGGACCAGGACCAGGACCAGCAGAGCCAAACAGACCTGGTGCGTGTCTCTGGTTCCTCGTGAGTGGAGTGGCACATGGCGCTGAACTGAGACACAAAGAAGTCGTAGCGACGGTGGTACGAAGGCGTGTCCTCCTCGATGTTAGCAAACTTCACAAACTGGAACAGAACAGGTACTAGTTTAGACCAGAGAGAGACCAGAGAGAGACCAGAGAGAGAGACCAGAATCAGAATCAGAATCAGAATCAGAATCATTTTTATTGCCAACGTAAGTAACGGGAGGTCACAGACTTGGAAATTGCTTTGGCTCAGTGCAACAGTCGAAAAGAGATAATAAAAATAAGAATAAAAAACACTTCTAAAGAATAAATTTAAATTTAAAATAGAGTTACAGTTACTATTTACAATATACAAGTGCACATGGTGCACACAATGTAAGGTGACAGCAGTACAGTGAAGTAAAGTGACGTATGATGGGCAGTAAAGTGACTTTATAAAGGGCGGGGGGACAGGTTAAGAAGTGTTCAAGAGTCCAACAGCAGAGGGGAAGAAACTGTTCTTGTGGCGGGAGGTTCTAGTCCTGATGGACCGCAGCCTCCTGCCTGAGGGGAGTGGTTGGAATAGTCCATGTGCAGGGTGAGAGGGGTCGGCTGTGATACGACCAGCCCGGCCTCGAGCTCGGGCGACGTACAGGTCCTGCAGCGATGGAAGGCTGCGGCCGATCACTTCCTCTGCAGAGCGCACAATGCGCTGTAGTCTCTGTTTGTCCCTGACTGTGGCTCCAGCGAACCACACGGTGATGGAGGAGGTGAGGATGGACTCGATGATGGCCGTGTAGAACTGCACCAACATCTGTGCAGGCAGCTTGGCTTTCCTGAGCTGCCGCAGGAAGTACATCCTCTGCTGGGCCTTCTTGATGAGGGAGCTGATGGTCGGCTCCCACTTGAGGTCCTGGGTGATGGTGGTGCCCAGGAAACGGAAGGACTCCACAGAGGTGATGGGGGAGTCCATCACGGAGGGTGGGGGCGGGGGGACAGTGCTCTTCCTGAAGTCCACAATCAT